CTTAGGACCTACAAGATGCCATAGACCGACAGGCAAAGGGTTTGTATTTTGTAAGCAGTAATTTTAGAATTATTAACAAGGAAGCTTCTCAAACTGCTCTGTCTCCATGTCATGTCTCTTTCTCGTGAGATCCATATTCCACGTCTTGTGTAAAGTTTAATGTGAATAAAATCTCAAAGAAAATCTTAGAAGATAATGGAAGAACGTGATGTTTTGACAAAATACAGATTAGTTATTCCATTTTGAATCTGTAATCCATTTTGTCTTGGTCTGTGAGTTGCAATTATCATTCTATTTTGGAAAAGCATGGAACATCAGCAATTAACTCTAATATGAAAACTGAATTATGGAGCAATGGGAACATCCGAACATGGCAATGTGCTATAATCACAAAGGTCCAAACTTCAACAGCCAGCTCAATTTGATTATCCTTCAATTTGATCAATTAATCTAGCATTATAAATATAACCCACCAGGCCTCTTGAAAACAATATAAAACCCCTCCCCCCTTCACTCAAAACTCCACATCCTAAACACTTGTACTTTTAGCTCTAAGCCAACTAGGGTTTTGAGAAGATCAAATGGCCTCAAAAAGATCAGCTTCCATGGCCCTTTTTCTGGCACTCAACATCCTATTCTTCTCCCTAGGCAATGCTTGCAACTCCTGCCCTTCCACCAACCCTAACCCTAACCCGAGGCCAAATCCGAACCCCACCCCCACTCCATCTGCAAGAGGCAGATGCCCTAGGGATGCTCTTAAATTAGGCGTCTGTGCCAATGTGCTTAACTTGGTCAATGTCGTAGTTGGTTCACCCCCGGTGCAGCCATGCTGCTCCCTTCTCCAAGGCCTGGTTGACCTCGAAGCTGCCGTTTGCCTATGCACCGCACTCAGGGCTAACGTGTTGGGGCTCAACCTTAATATCCCAGTTTCCCTTAGCTTGCTTCTCAACGTTTGCGGAAGGAGCACTGGCTTCCAATGCTAAATTCTAAGTTTTCAATATCTTGATCATGTTGGTCGTGGTTTCCTTTATTTGTAGTAAATCAGTGTTTTCGATTGTTGTTATAATTTCCAAGTGGGAGTTGAATAAGTCCAATACTTTTCTTCAAGTGTCCTTGGAGATTTCTGCTGTATCTCAAAGGGACATGAAAAAGACTTGCATTAATTACTATATTCCTTTATGCATTTATTAATAACATCTCTAAAGCTAGTTTTACATACGGCCGCGTATTTTATATTTTAGCTATAAATGAATCAACAACTCTTCATCAACTTTACCTCAATTCAGTGTGAATGTAGCTAAGCTGAACCGGAAAGCTTAGGGTTTAGTATTAGCCTTAATAACATATAATTCAAACCCCCATGAACCATTCTCGTGGTCTGAATAGTTGCAATTTGTTTACTTCATTCGTACAAGGGATGAGCATGTGTTTTGATTATAATATAATTAAAATTTGTTTATGCGCCTATATGCCACATTGGTTCGACGGGTCTTCGAGCCAACGCAAGGGTATATAGGAGTGAGCTTTTAAAGCACGGTGGTAAGGGATTTTTCATAAGGAAAAGCCGGGGTTGTAATTGCAATGTGCTGAATTTTTATTTATATCGTATAGGCTTTTGTTAATTGGTGACGTTCTGTTACTTTTTTTGTCGAGTTGTATCTGTTATTTAGTTGTGTTGTATTCTTTTCCTCCAATTAAATGTAGAGAGATTTTTAACGAGATACATAAGTCTTGTTTTTGTTTCTTTAAACCTTTAATAAAACAAATTTTACCGAGAAAAATATAATTAAAATGTAAACACGAAATCTTCTTACAACTGTAATTAATTAAGACAACGACTTGACTCTTCGGAGTAGACATGTCCAACTCAACCAAGCAATTGTATTTAATTTAATATTATAAAACAAAACATAACTTTTTTTGGTTACCCTCTAGTTCTAAGGCTTCGTTTTGATTAATCTGAATTGACCCCGGTCGCATACCTGGTTTTGGTGGGTGAGTCTTCCAACGAGAATTTTTTTCATACAGAAAACTCGAACATGAAATCTTACTTAAACGATATCAAGAAACAAAACATAACTTTGATGTAACCGAATTTTGATTAGTTAACGTTGTCATAATCCGATAAGACACGTTATAATTCTTAGAATTATTGTCATAATTGAATTCTTCTAGTTGTATAGATTAATTATTATTTTGGGTAATGTACACAAATAGACCCCTGACTATAACATTTTGTTTTATTGAGACCCTTGATTATTAAAATATACAAAATGATCCCTCTACTATAAGGAGTTGTTTTATTGAGTTCCTCGACTATTAAAAGTTACAAAATGGTCACTCAACTACTCATTATGTTCTAAATTCATATTTTTTTTGTTAAAAAGTTGACAATCATATGAGTTGGACCTTAACATGTTGATTGAGATATGATACTCGACTAATTACTTTTTTTATAATATACAATACTAATCAGTTTAAACTTAATCGTATCTTTTTCATCTTATACAAAACTCTCTGAACACTTGAAAATAAAAAAATAACCTTACTTTTACGGTTTAAATCACTTCTAAAATTATTAACGAAAATTTCCACCAAAATATATTTATAGAATTTTTTGAATTATAAAAATAACTTTTTTTAGAGGTTATTGAAAACCAAGATAAATTTTAGTAAATGAATCAAACAATAAAATTTCTACTTTTATCTCTGAATTAAAAACACCTATTTTTCGGTTCAATAACATTTAATCCTATGAATCACCTATCTCTTAATTAAAATTTAATTTCACGTCTAAAATCTTTTGGTTCAATGAAATACATAAATTTAATTTTTTTAGTTTAATAGTATACTCAAAACTTTATTTTTATCCCAACCTATACATAAAGATAAATGATTTATTTGAAACAATCACAAAAGATTTGTTCAATCTGAGAAACTATTTGATATATCCAGTTCATCACGTCATCCGTTGTGTTAGCGAATGAGAGACACAAATTTTAAAATAATTATCCACATCTTACTTATACGTAGGAAAGAGGTGAAGATTCACCTTGAGAAAGAAATGATATGGACAAATATTATTAATTGGATCACAAATGATGTGGTGAGTCGGGACAATCTAATATTTTTTCCTATACCTGGATTTAAAGGATGTTTGGCCGTGAGTAGGGTTTCAGTTGTGGGGGAATCCGCAGAAAGCTCAAAAGAAAATTAATGATTAATTTCATGAAAAAAAAAGAAGAAAATTAATGATTAATGAATATACTAAACAAAACAAAGTGTCGAGGAATAATGCCTTGATGAAATCTTGAGGAGCAGTGGGTAAATGAATTCATGGAAGCCATAATTAAGGTGCCATGTGCTCTATTCAGGGATCGACCTAAGTGGGGTGGATGGGGCCCTAAAATTCTAAAATTATCTGAACTGTAAATTCTTAAATCCTAAATCTAAATCCTATATAGAATACACGACAGCAAAATAGATCGAACTTACACGACCTATGGAGTCTTAATGTTCATATTGTGATCTTACAAGTGGCATATCAACTAGTATACAAGAAAACAAGACTTAATGTTCTAAGCTCGCCTACAGTTCAGTCCAGCAGGAATACTTCCATTAACAACACGCCAAGAACTCAAGACATAGCACCTACAAGATGCCATAGACCGACAAGAAAAGGGTTTGTATTTTGTAAGCAGTAATTTTAGAATTATTAACAAGGAAGCTTCTCAAACTGGTCTGTCTCCATGTCATGTCTCTTTCTCATGAGCTCCATATTCCACGTCTTGTGCAAAGTTTAATGTGAATAAAATCTCAACGAAATTTTTAGAAGATAATGGAAGAGCATGATGTTTTGACAAAGTACAGATTAATTATTCCATTTTGAATCTGTAATCCATTTTGTCTCGGTCTGTAAGTTGCAATTATCATCCTATTTTGGAAAAGCATGGAACAGCAGCAATTAACTCTAATATGAAATCTGAATTATCGAGTTCGGATTCTGAGAATTAGCGTAAAATAAGTGGTTCAATTTCCCAGTGGGAAAATTAATCAAATCAGTGTTTTCGTATGTTGTTATAACTCCCCAGTGGGAGTTGATGCCGAATAAGTCTAATACTTTCCTTCAGCTGTCCTTCTTGGAGATTTCTGCCGTATCTCTAAGGGACATGAAAAGACTCGTATTAATTGCTATATTCCTTGTTGTTTCTTTATCCATTTATTAATAAGATCGTCCAAAGCAAGTTATATACATATATGGCCGTGGCTTTTATATTTCAGCACAATACATGAATCAAGTGCGAATGTAGCTAAGCTGAATCGGAATGTTTAGGGTTTGTTAGCCTGAAGAATCGATAATTCAAACCCACTGAAGCATTCTCATGTGTTTTGATTATAGTATAATTAAAATGTTAACACAAGATCTTCTTACGACTTCGATTAATGAAGACAGCATCTTAACTAGGCGAAAACGATCCACTTACAACAGCATCAATAAAACATAACGACCAAACCGCACAACATTCACTCTGGTAGGCAAGCAATAGCTTAGCCCTGCATAAACTGAGAAAAGAAATACACCAGCAAAGCTAACAGTACAACACAACAGTTCTTAAGCCACAGCAAATTAAGGAAGCAAAGGAATGCGGACATCCCTGCAAAACGACTAAATAAAGACAACTTACCACCAAGCTTTAAAAAGGACACTTCTAGACATGCCTTCTTTAGCTGAGAAATCAGCCATTCCATATAATTCTATAAGTTCAAGTTCGACTCTTAACATAAAATCCCACGTCAATCCCTACCCCTAACATCTGCAAATCCACATCCATGGCTCTGGGTTATTTCCAGTTCACCATGAAAGCTAAGAGACAATACTACCTCATCACCATTCACATGTATGCACTTATGTCCACTTGACCTTTCCATTCATCCATGGTTCCACAACTATTTCTCTTTTCCCATTTTGGTATTTATATATTTAAAGATTTATATACGAGTAACTGTTCGATAATATTATCTGAATTGTAAATTCTTAAATTCTAAATCCTATATAGAATACACGACACCAAAATAGATCGAACTTAGACGACCTATGGAGTCTTAATGTTCATATTATGATATTACAAGTGGCATATCAACTAGTATAGAAGAAAACAAGAAGTGTTTATATTTTTTTATTTCCGTCTTTTAACTTTAAAATAATGATTTATTCTAATAATTGACAACTTAGAGAAATCCATAGTTTTTAATCAGATTTGTTAGGCTTATCCCTACATAACAGGGTTTCAAATCGCGGTCGCGTTTTCGGTTTTTTCGGATTTATCGTGATTACGGCCGTTGCGGACGCTATTGCGGCCGTCGCGGGTAACTCGGACGGCGACAAAACCGTTATATCGCGACCGAAATCGCAGTCGCGGACCGTTTTTTAAAACCCTGCCCTGCATGTCTTGTGATTTGCCTGGTTGTACCCACAACTCGGCGTGCCCACGTGGGATACTTTCTCTCAAAACCATTGAAAAACCAGTCCTTAGTTCGCCTATAAAAACCCTTTGCCCTGCTTCTCCATTTCATCACTCTCATAATATATCACTAATTCTTTGTTGCGAAACATGGCAAAATCCACTGTTGCATCGGCAGCACTTCTCGTTGCCGTGAACCTGTTGTTCTTCACATTGGTCAGCTCGACCTACGTGCCATGCCCACCACCGCCACACAAGATCCCCAAGCCTTCCCCCAAGGTCCCGCCATCTGGACCGAAAAGGCCGGCCACTTGCCCCAAAGACACACTCAAACTGGGTGTGTGTGCTGATTTGTTGGGCGGATTGGTACACGTTGTCATCGGGAGCTCGTCGAGGACCAAATGCTGCGGTCTCATTTCGGGGCTGGCCGACCTCGATGCCGCCGTTTGCCTCTGCACGGCGATCAAGGCCAATGTGTTGGGGGCTAACCTCAATGTTCCCATTTCATTGTCCTTGCTGCTCAACTCATGTGGAAAGGAACTGCCTGCCGGTTACAAATGTGCTTATTAAGCTCATTTCCACTCTATTTCAAGCAATGTTTACGTCTTTTTCTGGGTGTGTTTAGTTTGGACTTTTGGTATGCCCGAATAAATCATGAAGTATTATTTATATATGCGTACCTTACTTTTGTACCTTAGTTTCACTTAAACAATCAATAAACAAGTTTGTATTGTATTGCATGTTACAAAAATATTATTTCCGTTGCTTAATGCATTATCGAGCCATATTACTAGTAGAATGAATGTCGTTATCTTTTAATATTCTGGGTTTGAACAATTGTGTTTGTAAAGTATGTATGCATTGATAATCGTCTAAATTTTCTTGAACATATTTACCTTATAACTATCGCATATTATTAAAATAATCCTTAAAATCTTGAGATCCACATCTGAATCTTTGAGCAATGGCTCTCTAAAAATGAAATTAGCTAAAGAATTATAAAGCACATATAATCTGAATCCCAACTATGTAATGTTATATATCCTATTAGAATTACTCAGTCAATCAACTCGATATTAATAATGATACAAAAATATCTTTTAAATAGATAAAAATTAATATATAACAATAAATTTTATATCCGACACTAACTCCGATTTAAGTAAAAGTCAACGGTAAAGATGGACATGAGATCCATACTCGATAGATATATGATCAATTTTTTATAAGATAAGATCAAATCAGATTTAAGATGATAATTTTTGAACTGATTTGATCGGACCTGAAATAATAATGTAATTATCTATTATATATTGTAATTAAATTAAAAGAAGAATAAAAATATAATATTTATATAAAAAAAATCAACCCGACTTTAACCCTATAGCGCATTCCTAATCCCTCGGTTGGCTCCTTCTGTTTTGCCGACGAGATGATCTTGAAAGCAAGTTGAAGAAGGGATAAAAAGTTGACAACATCATGCCATATCAACATCCAAGAATCGAAAGACTTGGCTTTATATACACGTAATTTTAGGAAGTATTTGACTAATAATAATAAAATTATTATTAAAAAATGATTGATAATTTTGACTAATTTTTTATAAGTGTAAAAAAAGTAAGATATATAATAATAAAAAAGAAAATATAAATGTCGTTGTTTGTTGACCTTTTATTAGGATATTTTGAATATGACAATTTTAAAAATCAAATGAGACGCTTTTAATGGGATAGATGAAGTATTAATTAAGATCAACGTTCAAGAATCCAAATACAATACATCCAGTGACGGAGCCATACTTGGTCAGGGTGGGCACGTAAATCCGAATTTTCTTTGATTTATTACTTATTTTACTGGTTATGTTCACCTTGAAATTTTTTGTACCCACCTTGAAATTTGAGTTTTCTTACGTTAGTTATTTATTTTACGAACAATGCTCATTTTAAAATTTTATTTGTATCCATCTTATTTAAAATTTTTATGTTATTAACATGTGTGTTCATCATGAAAAATATTTATAGAATTGTTACCGTATATATATATATAATCAATTGAGCGATATCGTTTCTTCAGTGGTGTGTTGATTTTCTGTGAATCAAACAAGTTGCCGTGCATTCAGGGAAATTGTACAAAGCACCAAAAATGGAAGACTATATGATATAAAATAAGTCATCACCCTTTGGTCCACTAAAAAATACCGTCCTAATGGACCATACACACAATGTTTTAAATAAATATAAATATATAATAAATAAAAACTTCCTTTTGCTAGAAGTTTTTACACCTACCCTATCGTTTATTCGATTCTTACGGGATCGAATTTAAATACAATTTTATTTTATTTTTTTAGAAAGCAATTAGTTTTATTAGAAATAAAAAAATCTAAAATTACAATGAAAAGTTACGAGCATAATCGTAAACATAAATGAAAATATAATTAGGATATTTCATATATTCATTGACAAAAAACTAGCCAATTGGATCATATAAGGATCGAAGAAGAAAAAAGTTAAAAAAAACCTAATTAAAATGTTCGAACAAAATAAAGATACGAATAAATTTGACTGTATCAACAAATAAACCACAAAATGGATGAAGCTACTGAAAACCACAAACAAATCGTAAATTTGAAGTCGAGCGACATGAGAAAACTATTCACGAATGCAAATTGTGTATCTAAACCACTCCGAGCATCTAAAGTAGGGAAGATCATCATGGTAACAAATAAGCGTTATCTTGATCAGTCGTGACGATGTCAAATCCAATCATGAGAAAAAAAGATAAACGAAAAAAACGGCACCGAAAACTACCAAAAGACATAGAAAAACGTGCCACAAAAGTATAGATAAACGCGACACAAAGAAAGAATTATTCTTATTAAAAATTAAAAAGGAAACAAAGAGAAAAGATAACCGATGGTCGACAATCAGTATTAAAATCGATATTACCACCGGCTAAATAAAATCAAAGAAGAAAACGTTGAATTTAAAATTTAAATTCAGATTTGATCAAATTCATGTTTAGAGTGAAAAATATTTTATATCGGCAAAATATTTTATTAAAAAAAGGTCCCAAGACCAACTTGAATGCATGTCTCATTAAAAACTCTCCTAACCTAATTGAGGAAAAATAGTACATGCACAAGGGAAAACATACACGAACACACAAGCAGCAAAATAAAACAGCCCTGATACAAGTTTAGAGAATAATACAAACACAAATGTAAAGCAAACAAGTATGGAAATGATACAAGTACTGACAAATACATGTCTTTTCATGTCCCTTAGAGATCATGACACTTGAAAGAGTCGGGATCTAGCATTGGAAGCCAGTAGGAACATTCCTTGAGCAAACGTTGAGAAGCAAGCTAAGGGAGATTTGGGATATTAAGGTTGATGCCTAGGATGTTAGCTCTAATATTGGTGCAAAGGCAGCCGGCGGATTCGAAGTCGACGAGGCCTTGGAGAAGGGCACAACATGGCTGCACCGGGGTGAACCGACAGTGACATAGACCAAGTTAAGCACATTCGCGCACACACCTAACTTAAAGGCATCTATGGGGCATCTGCCTAGTGCAGATGGAGTGGGGTTGGGGTCGGGTTCAGGTTGGTGGAAGGGCAGGAGTTGCAAGCATTTCCTAAGGAAAAGAAGAGGATGTTTTTTTTTCTGCTCGATAAAATTAATTTTATTAAAAAAACCTAAATAAGAACTTCGTTAAAAACCTCCCAAAGCCTAAGTGAAAGAAAATAATGCCATTAAATAGGGAACTAAACACAACCAAGAGACAAAACATTCGAACCAAAAGCATAAACAGATACGACAGCCGACAAACACCACCCAAAACGGAAACAGACAACATACCAGACCTACAGACAGCCCCTTGCACAATTTTAACAAAACAACTCACACCATAGCTTCTTTAATACTCTTAAGGAATTCACCCAAGACTCGGGCCACACATAATGAGCACACTCGCACAGTGCAAGAAAAGCATAAGAATGCCTATATGGTTCGTCCACCAACACTCAGCAGGAATACGGATACTTCGAAAATCTTCAATCTCCTTAGCAGCTTTAGCTGATCACAAAACAAAGAGAAGAACCAACGACAAAAGACTGAACAAAAGATGCAATTTCGCAGCCCACAGTGAGAAAACTACAACTACCACCAGGCTTTGAACAAACTTGATCTCGACATCCCGTCCACTGCTAGCCAAGCAGCCATCCGACTAAAGCTTCTCTCATTGAGAGAGAACTTGATTTTCCCAACGCGCTTCGACAACGAATCAATCTCCAAACAAGCTGGCCATAACTTTTACGGGCGATGAAGCGGATTCTCGATCCAATTTAGCACCAACTTAGAATAAGTCTTCAAACCAACTTTTCCACTCCCACAAGTCCCGCTTCCACAAAAACCTTCAATGCTGACAGGACAACACCCAACTTTACATGGTCTAGAGTAGCAACCTGAACATTATTTGCGAAAACTGCTCTAATTGAACCATTACCAGCATGGAGAACCCCACCACAACCTGCCCGGTCATTGCTAACACAACCTTCAACACTAAAAATAACAACCTTATCGTCCCGCGGAGACCAATCGAAAAAGGATGGAAAAATATCTTTGAGACAAGAACTCGGATTGTCCCACCATTCATTTAAATTAATCTCAAACTGATTACTTCTTGTTTTTAACCAAATAAAAGCTCTAAGTTTAGAATAGAACACGAACTCTCTCATGTTAAACGATTTCTTGTTAAAAACCATGTCATTCCGAACCAACCAGAGACTCCAAATTGCAGCAGCTACTGAAACTAACAAAATGCTATTTAATTTGCTCTCAAATTTAAAAGCAATGCAACAACTCAAAAAATTAGAGACATCACTCACGTCTGGCCAATTAATCCCCCACCAATGACCAAACGCTCGTCAGAAGCACCTCAAAAATTTACATGCCACAAAGGGATGATCAAAGTCTTCAACACCCGAACCACACCAACAGCAGGAACAATCTTCTCCCACCTGCTCAACCGCTTAAGAAAAGATTTTGTTGGAATCATGCCGAGTTTCAACATCCACAGAAAATTTTAAACTTTGGGAGGCACTTTCATCTTCCAAAATTTTCCAAAATCGAACTCCGAATCCACCACATCTGAATCCACCATGAGTTGACATAACTTCTTCACCGAAAAAACTCCTGCTTTATCAGTTGACCATACTAACCTGTCCGGGACATCACGCTTCAAAACCACGTCATGAGTTCGCTCTTTTAGGACGTCCAACATTGCCTTTTCTCTATCCAGCAGATTCTTAGTAAAGATCCGCTCCCAGTGAATCAAACAAAGCTCCCCATTGACTGCCAATTCAGTCACAGAAATCCTTTTACACGCTGTCAGGCGAAACAATCTAGGAAACTCAGAGTTTAACGGCTTATCTCCACACCAAATATCTAACCAAAATAACACCATTTTACCATCGCCCACAATCCAGCGCAAATTGTCATTGTTCATCCACTTATTCACATTCACACTAGCCCAGTTCTTCACAATCCTATGCCAAACCGTAGACACTTTTTTCAGCTTTGAAGCATTCCTCACTTTTTTCACATCCAACCTCAGAGTTCACATTCCTCACTTTATCCTAGAAAAGAAGAGGATGTTGATTGCCAAGAATAGGGCCATGGAAGCTGATATTTTTGATGCCATGCTGATCTTCTCAAAACCCTACTGGAATTGCTTGTGTGGCTTAGAGTTATAAGGTACAAATGCCTGAGGATGTGGATTTTGGAGTGAGGGTTTTTACTGTTTCAAGAGGGTTTAGGGTTGTTGTTTTGGTGTTAGGTTAAATAACTTATTTCTTATGGCAATTTGGGATGGACGGTGAAGCTTCGATGCTTGTGATCTTGAGGTAGAAAATAGCACGATGCCATGTTCCTACTCTCCTATAGGATCAATCTGTGGATCTGTACGAGTGTTGGTGGAGGAACCATATAGGTATTCTTATGCTTTTCTGGTACTGTGCGAGTGTGCTCATTTCGTGTGGCCCGAGTCTTGGGTGAATTCCATACGAGTATTAAAGAAGCTATGGTGTGAGTTGTTTTATTAAAATTGTGCAAGGGGCTGTGTCGTATCTGTTTATGCTTTTGGTTCGAATGTTTTGTCTCTTGTTGGTGTATCCTTCCCTATTTAAGAGTATTTTTTTTGCACCACTTAAGTTTATGGAGGTTTTTAAATATACCCTTATTTAGGGTTTTTAATAATATTAATTTTACCGAGAAAAAAATTGTGGATCTGTACGAACTATAGAGTTCAGATTCCATATTCTAACTAACAATAACAAACCCACCACTATATTTAAGTTTAGGGTGAATTATAAATTTGATAACTTAATTTTGCTCTCTCTCTTATTTTATTTATTGTACTTCAAAACTTTTTAATTTTTTACTGAACTTAATACATTGATTTTTTTATCACTCAATCGTTAAACAGTTAACGACGTTAAAATGTACAGTTATATAGATGCATACCGACATCGTTTTGGTAAAAATTTTATTTTTTAAAACGATTTTTCAATATTGTTAACTATTTAACGGCTGAATGATCAAAATATGAGAGATAGTAAAGTTCAGTGACAAAAAACTTAATGTATTAAGTTCAGTGAGAAAATTGAAAACTTTTAATGTTCAGTGAACAAAATAGGAAAGAGGAGTAAAATTCAATGATGAAATTTATAATTTACCCTTATGTTTATAAATATAACTACAACTACGTTACAATAATATATATTTGAATAAGATAGAACCACAAATGTTATTAGTAATCTAATTTTTTTTATTAAGCTAATGTGATTATAAAGTAGTATATGTTCTAAATACTCTTAACCATTTGACAATTAATGTTCAATCACTCTGCTGTAGCTGCTGATGCTCGAACCCGTGACCTCTAGAAACAATAATGATTCTTTTAACTACTGAGGTAAGATGATTCGTGCTAGTAACCTAACTATTTAAAACATCCCGATTCCTTTAACAACTGAGGTAAGATGATTCGTGCTAGTAACCTAACTATTTAAAACATCGTTAGGTTCTTTCGTTAAATAATAATATTATAAAATTGGTTTAATCATTTACCTAAAATAAATATCCTCACTATTTAACGTTCTTCCACAATAGGAGGATAGTTCCAATTTAGACTGCTAAGCAAAGACAAAATGGATTAGAGATTCAAATTAACATCATTAATGCCTCTTTGAAGGTTAGCTTGTCAAAACTTTTCATTCTTTTGCCATTATCATCTAAAAGATTTATCGTATAATGGCAGATACAAAAATAATTTCGAAGGTAGGTATAAATATATATATTTACAACACAAAAATTTAAGTTTAAGGACATTTTTTCTTCTGTAGTAAACTCAATTTATCATTTTCGTTCCTATCGTTTTTTTTGCATCAGTTTAGCCCCCAAAGTCCGTTGATCGTTTTGACTAACAGAACTATTAGTCTTTCGCCTTTTTCAACACCGAAAATTTTCATATCAATCAATATTACTGACATGGCTTGATGATGACTTGCCATTTATGAAAAAAATAAAATATTTAAACCATTTACTAAATAAAACGGAGAAAAAAATCTTAAAAATTTGACTCAATACCTTAATATCACATAAATAAATAATAGAATTTTGGGAATTTGTTCTAATCGTTGTGTTTAATAAATATTTTAACATAATCTCTTAATCCACAGATACAGAAGACTCACAGTTTTGTTAGTCAAAACAGTTAATGGGCTTCGAGGGCTAGGATGGACACCCAAAACAACTTCGAGAGCTAAATTGATGCAAAAAAAAAACGATAAAGACTGAATTGATAAATTGAGTTTAGGGAAAAAAGTGACTCTTAAGTCCCGAAATTTTCATGTTAATTAAGGTAGACACAAATAAAATTTTAAGATTGACATAATCAATAAAACATATAATAAATAAAAGGAAATTTCTGGATCAAAACATAATCAACACAAAAAGATAATAAAAATATAATTATATTTAAAAAGATATTTATTAAAAAAAATTATTATTTTTTACTTTAAACTCTAAATTTTAATTCCATAAAATAGCTGTAGATATTTAAAGTCTCGTTAGGGTTCCTTTTGTTAGACAATGCTATTATTGAATTCGTTTATACATTTACTCAAAATGAATATCCCCATTGTTCCACGTTCTTCCGAAATAGGAAGACAGATATAACTTAGACCACTGAGCAAAGACAAAGTGGATTACAGATTCAAAGCAATATCATTAATCTTCCTTTGAATGTTAGCTTGTCAAAACCTCTCTCTCTTCGGCCATTATAATCTAAAGATTTATTGAGATCTGTGAAGGAAATATAATTAGGGTAAACTACGCCTTTAGCATA